AATTTAGTGGTCAACGATAAATTAACCTCAGGTCCGAATTACACCCATTTGAGGCCACGGAGCCAGATTTTTTAATGGACCCCAGACATATTGTTTGCATTGAAACTTAAACAATGTTTTTATTACAAGACTAATTAAAAACTGTGGGTGATGTAGTAATAATAATATAACTTTGAATTTTTTTAAATTTACCAATTGTTAAAATTATAAGATCATGTTATTTTTCTTTGTAGATCCTATTACTAGGGCCTGATGTCTCTGTTTAATATTATTATACTTCATAAATGACAAGGCCCATCCGGGAGCCTCCCCAATGGGTTATGTCAGTGGAATAATCGTGCAGAGCAAGTATTTAAGCAATTAATCTTCGGGCCCATGCAGAACGTGATCAACCAAGTCGCTATGCCACCGAACCGTTCGACAACAAGAGAACGTTTGTACAGTCTGTTTATAGACACATAAAAATCATGATTTATTATTTTTCGCAAATATTAAATTTATTTAAAACGTTGTACAAACACCAAATCACAATAAAATTTAACTACGATCAAGGTTGTAAATTTCCAACTGAATAAAGAAATTTGTTTTTAACAATTCATAAAAATAAAATTTAGTTCATTGGATTTGATAATCAGAAAATAAAATTTTAACATGAAAATTGTGTATAATTTATTGTTTATATAAATGTAATTTTTAAATATTCATGATGCTTAGTGTAACATCACCAGTGTATGTACACCACCGAATTTCTAACTAAAAAATTCTAATCTGATTGTAACAAATTGCTATTAGTAGTTTTTATAACAAAGAAAATATCTAAATTAAATTCTACTTAAATATCACAATTTTAAATAAAATTACATTAACTGTATATTCACTGGAAAATTCCAATTTCCAATACAAAAAAATTAATTGAATTTTTTTGTCGGTTAATTATAAATATTCTTACATCAACTATTATAATAGAGAATATTCTAGAGAAAAAATATTTATTACGTGGTTAAACCATATATTTAAAACTTTTTTTATTTTTTAAATCATTAAAATTGAATTTAAATGTCATTTTCAAAAAAAAAAACTGGACTTTCGATTATAACTTTATTGGATTAACTTACAATTATGAAACTTTATCAAACAAATAAATGAATTTATAAGGATTTAAAAAATATTAACTTTATGCATTTTGAGTAGATATAAATAAAAAAATTGCTGTTAATACAAAAAATACAAGAACATCTTAAAAATTCGCAACAAATACTGTTTTTTTTATATACTTTTCCAGTATTGTTTTATTTTTTAAAGTAATTGAGTAATAATATAATACAATCTTACATATTTTATATTTAAAATGTACAAATTTAATATTTTTTAAATTTTTATAAAATAATCTATTTGTTTAATTAAGTTAAACCAAAAATGTCATAGTCCAACGTTTAGCTTTCTTTTTTAAATGGCACTTAAACTCAACTTTTGTAATTCAGAAATTGGATGGACAGTCGAAAATTTTAAACAACTCTTTTTAAACATCATAAAATCAGTGTCGAAATCCCATATAGAATTCAAATAAAATTAACAAGAAAATGACTGTTGTCCTATGTTATTTAAAACTTATATAATAAACATTACAAATTATAATATTTTATATTCAGTAATATATAAAACTTGGTTGTGCTAGAACAGATCCCTTCAATCATTTAAGTCAATGTATGCCGAAGAAAATTAATAGCCTTTAGACTCTCTGACGTTAAGTAAAGACACAATAAGGCGAGTCGTGATAAGAGAAGAAGAGGCCTAGTCCGGACGTTTTGCTAATAAATCGTAGTGTGCCTACAATGAGTAGAAAGAGTGCGACTCTTGTTTCCGTGTACGTACCATACTAAACCGTGTACAACAGAGATCACTTATTGATATTTGAATTGGCGGCGGTTACTTTGGTCGAACGAGCCGCGAGATGACTATACGCACAGAAAATAGTTGTGTTGTCGATGCTTTATGAATAACACAACTGCGAAAGGAGAATAATATATTACCATTATAGTCTACCGTACATGCACTTGATGTAATCGATGGCATACCTACACCTTAGAACGTAATAAAAAGAAGACAAGGATATTTATCCCTTCTTTAATTAAGAAATCAAAAAAACCAAAAATGGCTATGACTAGTGACAATGATTATTTACAGAGAATACCTAATGAAAAAATACGCCTCAAATAAAAATAGTAAATCTGCCAACCATAATAGAAAAAAAAATTGCTCCTAACTAGTTGACTACCATAAAAAATTCATATATAATATATCCAAGTTTTCAATTAAATAACACATTAAATGTGTTAATAAATTTTATTAGAAGGAAAAAAACGTCCTATTTACTTTTGGCTTAGAATATTTTATATTTTATAAATAAGTAAATATTCATACTTATAGTTGATGGTTTTAAGTTATGATTTATGACTAAAAATATATTCTTTTCAAATATTTTACATAATTTCTCTGATGAACGAATTAAACTGATTTATCATAAGGTATAAAGATTGTCTCGCCATATTTTGACATCTTTAATGACTTTTGATCTAGTAAATATTTTACGATACTTTTTTATAATTGTTATTTACAGTTTTGGACGATATTAACAGCATACTTATATTATCTGTCTTTAATAATAAAAAACAATTTTCTATTTTTATTTTAAAATAGCTTTATTTTTGGTCTTTTTCTTATAAAAAATTTCGATAAGTCGATAACAACTTTAAGATAAGTACTTATTGAGTTATAAGCATTTTAATACATAGTGTGGGTATGTGCACAGGTACAGTTTGAATATTATACAGCTGATGTATATTTATAGTGCATATAGTGCGTTACATAGAAACTCTATGTATTAAAATACTTATATTTTAATAAGTACTTATCCTAAAGCTGTTATGAATCCATCAAAATTATTTGTATGAAAAGAGCTAAAAAATAGCTATTTTGAAATTAAAAAAAAAATGTATTTTTTATTTTTAGAGACAAATAATAGAATACATGCTTTTAATGTAGTCCAAAACTGTAAATATTAATTTTAAAAAAGTAATGAAAATTATTTGCTGGATGAAAAGTTTTTAAATAAGTCATAACCTGTTAGAACACTTTGAATAATTCACCCTTAACTCTACTATTATAGTACGATTGTACTATATTTTAAGATTTATATTGACTTTAAATATATGTAACATTAGAACGTAATCAAATTTTTATTTGTGCTGTTAATATATTATAATTAGATATTCGTTCTTTTTAAATCTTCTTCGGTGTTATGAAATATATAATTTAATATCAAATATTATTAACCTTTAATTGTAATGAAATTATTAAAAACGACCAAATGAATACATATTTTTAAAGCCACATATGGCGTGATATGCCAAAATTGCTCCAAAAAATGGTTATACCCGTAGGTTCTGTTTTAGAGAATAGAATCCACCTGTCGATATCAGTAATACTTGAGTATATTTACAGAGAAGTGAAGCCTTTACAATATCTGACGGTATAGTTCGTGATGATGATCCCTAAATGTTTCTTATGGGAACGCTCGTTTGAATTTCTAACTAGCAATTACCCTCTAGCAATAAATGACACAAGATGTTGTTAGCTTTTAGGAAAAAAAACTATTAGAACAATTGATGTATTTTTTATTGTTATTATATAAGTCATACATATTGCTATTCTTTAATTACCTCTAAATTGCGTTTGATTTATAAAAATGATCAAAGGGAAATATATTTATGATTCTTTTGTAAAAATTAGTGATAATTATCATCATCTTTTTAGAATCTATACCAGCTGTTTGCGATTGACTCTACAGCGATTTATTAATATTAGTCATATATTACATGAAAATGCACAGTGTACCTGACTTCATATTTAAAATAAATTCTAATTCAACTTTTAAGTGCTTAGAAATCACACCTGTTTTTTTAGACAAGTGTGATTCTAAAATAAAACTATGCTAATAAATATATTAGCTTCGATGCGAAGCTGAGATGGTATTGGTTTTTTTTTTGTGCCTGTTACCACTTTTTCTTCGCTATCACTGAACCGATTTCTTTCAACGATACGTCAAAAGATCACAAATCGTATCTAGTCGAAGACATTATCCTCAAAAATTGAAAAAAATTCCTTTGTTCCCCGTAAATGAGGAAACCTCCAAAAAAATTACAAATTTAAAAATCGCTAATTTTCGAAATTTTTTCAATTTTTTTTTATTAAAATGTGCCGTAACTTTTTCAAAAATGAACATATCAATATAATTTTTTTTTTTATAGATGCTTGATGTCTTTACCTATCATTTGATATATATTTTTTGTAAATATGAACCTTTATTCAATTGTTCACAATTTATATCTTGTTGAAGATATTACCCTTAAAAATTGAAAAAAATGTTATCAATTAAAATGTTACTTGTCTAACATTCTCCATATAAATAATTAAAATCATTAATTTTTAATGCTTTTAAAGAATATATTGTCGAATTAGGTTTGATATTAATACGCTCAATTGAGTAGATCTTCTCAACAACTTTTTGTTATGAAAGTAAAAAAAAAATATGATAAATCGTTCAATGTTTCTAACATCACAGACAGGTCATCGGGACAAATTTCTTTTTTTTAATTTATAGTACATAATGTACTAAAAATATAATATAAAATATAGTTTTGTACATAATGTACAAAACTTTAATTAAATATATATTTAAAGGAATAATACGGAAAATTTTCATAAGTCAAGTTGAAAAAGTTTTACTTTTTATACACATGTGTTCAAGTTATGAACGCCCTCTGTATAAGAGGAAATTAACCGATTTAAAAGAAAGTATGTCGGATGAAAGAAAAATATATAATGTATTTAGAAAAAAGAATTTGTGTTGATCTATACATTTTTCAAAAATGTATAGCAATATAAAGTTGAAAATTTAAAATAAGGTAATAATTTGTATTTCATTGTATTTAATTGAATTTAATATCAGATTGCTTATCGACTAATTTTGACGTATAATTGAAGTTAAGAAGGAGCTAGATTAATGTAGCCACAGATGAACAAAAGAGAAAAAAAACACATAACAAAATTAATATCTTCACAGCTTTGCGTCAAATCTAAAAATATTAATAGTATTTTTAAAGTACAACACAAAACTTTATTTTTAATAAATACGATATTTTGCATCTATATCTTTTTTAATATAACAAGACTAAGTGTACCATGATACAGAAAATGTCGACCAAGTCAGTTCTTGCCACCTTGCGTTTAAACTGTGCAAAGTCGGTGGATTTGAACTCGTATTATATCTGCAATCGTATTTCTACGAATTGTAGAATATATGAGACCTTACGAGGGGAGATATATCCGATAAAACTCACCAATATGGACATTCTTTTTAATAGTTCATTAGTTTTTATTAAAAAAAATCGTAACTACAATTAACAATGAAATAACATCACAACTTTTTTTCCTATCCAAAAGTGTGTAGTACGAATTGAAATTTTTTTAACTCTTATGGAAAAAAATTAAAAATATATTATAAACAGCCTAATTGTGTATACAAATTATCAATTTATGAAAAATCGTACGTTTAGATTTTTTTAGTTTTTTTCACATTTTAAAGAAAATCTTTCGGACTCTAATCTAATCATGATCCATAAGTATCAAAATATTCATTTGCTTATAGTACTTTCCAAAAGGAAAATTAAAAAAAAATGTTTTTGTTAGTTACAAAGAGGGAAATTATGAAATTTTTAATTTTCGATTTACTATTACTACGTCAATTATTCGAGTGAGATGGAAAAAATTTTGGATGATTTCTTAGCTTCTAAGTTAGTTTCTTGATTAAACGTTCAACAATTCTCTAAAACTGCATTACGTTGTTGAACACGTTTACCAGCTTTCTCCTAATTGTGGTGATTATAATGAAATGTGTGAACGATTTTACCGAGATATCTAACGATCTGAAAAACTATATTCAACAAAAATTATAGCTGATTATTGTTAGACGCTTAAACAAGAAACTAACTTGGATGCTAAAAGATAGTCCAATGTTTTTTTACATCTTACTTAAATAATTGACTTTGCTATAGTTAATTAAAATCAATAAATATAAATTATAATCAATAAATAAGATTGTTTAATAGATAATTTTTTTTACGCTTTTATAATCCATTAAGGGCTATAGCGGCCTTCCCCAAAGGAGGAGGGTTCTTAACCATTTTATACTCCGGGATGGGTGGTTAGACCGTCGTCGGGGAGTGGGATGGCGACTCCAATTACCGAACTGATCTCTCGTTCGGTAAATGAAGTCGCCCGTGACCGAGTTTCGAACCTGAGAGAGTGCCCGCCAAGCACTGCTGTATTACCGACTCGGCCACACCGTTCTACTGTATAAATAATTAAGAATAATAACTCATCTTTTTCAGTAAAATTTTTGTCACTTATAATATTAGAGAATTGAATAAAAATAAATATATTAAAAATTTAATTGCGGCTAATATTATTATAATTGAGAATAAAAAATATAATTATAATAAATATATATATATATATATATATATAAATAAATAATAAACAGCCTTAAACTATATATTTTTTTTACTTTTGGAATTTTCAGCATCGAAATTCTGACCTATACAAGTAGCACACAAATGGCAATCGTCCAACGCTGGTCGATACATACATTGTGAACAAAAATCTAAATTAATTAAATAATAAAAAAATTGAATAATATCAAATTTAAACTTAAGTCTATGTTCTTTAGCTCTAAATGGGCTTAAGTCTATGTATACAATATTATTAATTGTAATAATTAATGCAATATTAGTTCTCTTACTATAGTTAGAATTTCCAGCTGTGCCCGGTATGTCCACTGTGAAATAAATATGATTTTTTTATTGTTATTAATTGTTAATATTATGAGTATTGATTAAAAATAATATCTCATCGTTTTCAGTAAAATTTTTGTTATTAATAATATTATAAATAAATTAAATAATAATAAATATATAACACATTTAATATTATCATTCATTTATAAACTATAGCAACTATTAAGTTTATTGTACCTAAATTAAATATTTTGTTTACAAAGTGTTCATATGTATTATAGACATAAGAAAAAAAATGTAGTTGAAGAACCTTTCAATACTCATAACCTTATGTATTGTTACAACAAAACCCCATACATGTTACAAAGGAACCTGCTCACTCTAGATTTTCGCTCAATTGTTTTTTTTTAGATTTCCATAATTATTCTTATTTTAAGAGAAATTGAATGTATTATTATGGACAAATCATTCAGTATGTCAGTAAATTTATTATATACTATACGTTTTCTCACTATTATTAGACGTCCCAGCTGCTGCAGATATATCCACTGTAAAATATATAGATTTTAATATTTATAAAATATTATCAAGAATTAAAATTTCTATTAATCACGATTAGTTTAAGTACAACTGTATATAAGTTCTAAAATTTTAGAACAAAAATCAGGAAAAAAATATATTAAATCCTTTGTAAATCTTTATAAAAAAAAACAGAGCTTAATCATTAAAACTTTTCATATAATCATGATTATAACAAATGTTATAATAAATCAATGATTATAATAAATGTGATACAAAGACACAGTTTGTACTAAATAAAAAACCTCAAACATATTAATATCATTTATATTTACTTTTGGAAGGTTTGAAAGAACCGTATAGCTCATCATAACGACATTTAACACACATAGAAAAATCCTCAATAGCTTCATTCATCGTACATTTTGAACACATCTCTAGAATCGAGAGTTATATATTAAAATTTGTATAGTAATTGTAAGTATTTTACTATACTACTAATTTTTGATATGAAAAAAATATAATATATTTCTACTTTTAAGATAATACGATTAAATTCATATGTAATCAATCATTCTATATTTACAGAGTGATGATGCATGCCAATATATAAATATGTATTTTAACTAGTTATATACATTATATATGACAAAATAATATTATGTGTATACATCAAAGGTGTAATTAAACAAACACAAATACAGACCGGATAGTGCTTCAGTAAAATAAAAATTTTGTTAATCACAATTAGTTTAAGTACAACTGTATATAAGTTCTAAAATTTTAGAACAAAAATCAGAAAAAAAATATATTAAATCCTTTGTAAATCTTTATAAAAAAAAACAGAGCTTAATCATTAAAACTTTTCATATAATCATGATTATAACAAATGTTATAATAAATCAATGATTATAATAAATGTGATACAAAGACACAGTTTGTACTAAATAAAAAACCTCAAACATATTTATATCATTTATATTTACTTTTGGATGGTTGTGAAGTACCGTTTAGCTCTTCAATATAACATTTAACACACATAGAATAATCCTCAAAAGCTTCATTCTTCGTACATTTTGAACACATCTCTAGAATCGAGAGTTATATATTAAAATTTGTATAGTAATTGTAAGTATTTTACTATACTACTAATTTTTGATATGAAAAAAATATAATATATTTCTACTTTTAAGATAATACGATTAAATTCATATGTAATCAATCATTCTATATTTACAGAGTGATGATGCATGCCAATATATAAATATGTATTTTAACTAGTTATATACATTATATATGACAAAATAATATTATGTGTATACATCAAAGGTGTAATTAAACAAACACAAATACAGACCGGATAGTGCTTCAGTAAAATAAAAATTTTGTTAATCACAATTAGTTTAAGTACAACTGTATATAAGTTCTAAAATTTTAGAACAAAAATCAGGAAAAAAATATATTAAATCCTTTGTAAATCTTTATAAAAAAAAACAGAGCTTAATCATTAAAACTTTTCATATAATCATGATTATAACAAATGTTATAATAAATCAATGATTATAATAAATGTGATACAAAGACACAGTTTGTACTAAATAAAAAACCTCAAACATATTTATATCATTTATATTTACTTTTGGATGGTTGTGAAGTACCGTTTAGCTCTTCAATATAACATTTAACACACATAGAATAATCCTCAAAAGCTTCATTCTTCGTACATTTTGAACACATCTCTAGAATCGAGAGTTATATATTAAAATTTGTATAGTAATTGTAAGTATTTTACTATACTACTAATTTTTGATATGAAAAAAATATAATATATTTCTACTTTTAAGATAATACGATTAAATTCATATGTAATCAATCATTCTATATTTACAGAGTGATGATGCATGCCAATATATAAATATGTATTTTAACTAGTTATATACATTATATATGACAAAATAATATTATGTGTATACATCAAAGGTGTAATTAAACAAACACAAATACAGACCGGATAGTGCTTCAGTAAAATAAAAATTTTGTTAATCACAATTAGTTTAAGTACAACTGTATATAAATTCTAAAATTTTAGAACAAAAATCAGAAAAAAAATATATTAAATCCTAATAAAATAATATTTATGTGTATATATCAAAGGTGTAATTTAATTATATCAATCTCTGATATACAATATTATTTATTGTAATATGCATTCAATTTTTTTTTTAATATCCATAATTATTCTTATTCTAAGAGAAATTGAATATATTATTATGAACAAATCATTCAGTTTATACAGTAAAGTTATTAGATACTATAAGTTCTCTCACTACTTTTAGACGTCCCAGCTGCTGCAGATATTTCCACTGAAAATATATAGATTTTAATATTTATAAAATATCATCAGGAATTAAAATTTCTGTTAAACACAGTTAGTTTAAGCGCAACTGTATATAAGTTCAGAAAATTTTAGAACAAAAATCACAAAGACGTTTTTTCGATGTTCTTCCCATTATAAAACAAAAATAATATTTTAGATCATAAAATAATCGTACCATATGCTACAAGTAATATCAAACAGAAAACCTTCATTTCTATACTCCTAAAACAAAATGAATAATAATTAAGGGTACATTTTTGTGATGTAACCTATAAACATGATTTTCCTCATTTATTTAAGCATATAAAAGTATAAGATAGGGAAAGGGATTGTATTCCTTCATTACCAAGGTTATTAAATTTTATTTTTTTAATTTTATCAATAAAAAATCACAACTTTTTAAATTTTTTTTTTATTATTTGTGTTTTTGTACATTTTTTAATATTTTAAACATTAAAAATTTGTTTTTAGTTAATTAAAAATTCAATGTTTAATACAACATAAATTTTATAATAATTATATTGATAATCTATGTCTGAATTTAATATTTTTACAGTATTAGTCCATAATGCATAAAATATTTTAGCTTATTAATTTTAACGAAACTATTCAAGTCTTCACGATTAAAAGTTAATTACACCTATTTTCCAGTGTTTCACTTAGTATGTTAAATTCGTAGTTAATGAATAGTACAGAATAAAATGCAGTAACCGTTTTATAATTTATATCAGTGCTTTGTGGTTCATAAAAATAATTTTGTATTTTTAATGGTTTGATTTTTCAGATTTGATAGCGTATAACCAACCCAGCTCTGTTATCATAAAATATTTTACGTAATTCTTGTATGAGTTATATATTATTTTATTGTTACAATTTTTTTCTATTAATTAACTCATTCAAATTTTCACTTGTACAATTTAATGACTGGAAATAGGCTTATTAGCATTTTCTGAAGAAAATGGTAATATTAAATCAAATGAGACATCGGCAAAATCTACAAAGAAGGCATATCAGCTATAGTTAGCAAAATGAGGATTATATTATCAATAATTGTTTTGGAACAACTAAAAAAGTAGTTTTCGATAATTCAATGTTTGACAATGACGATATTATTATGAAGGACAAAGCTTATGAATATATAGAAAAACTAAAATAAATATACAAATTTCCCTAGATATAGTCTAGCCTGACAACTATTTTTCTGCGAAACCACTAGTATTTAGTTATTGCTAAATGAATATTTTAAGACTTTTCATGATCATGACTTAATAAAAAATGTTCAAAATAACGGGACTCGCTATAACATCTTACCATTTACTTGGATATCTTATACATCCTAGTTTACGGGAGAAATGTTAGACAAAGAACTGTTATTATTATTTTACTATATCAATATTTGGAGCCCTGATAAGTTTAAAGCAAACATAATAGTATATGTCTTCAAAAACTTGAGTTAAATCTAAAAATAAGTAAGAGAGTTATAATTGTATATGTTTATTTGTTCTATTAAAATTGTTATCATACTGTTTTATATTTTAAAAAATTAGATAGTTAATGTTAGAATATTATTTTTTTTTATTGTTATTTGCGTTCATGTGAGCTGTATTTCAAAAGAAGACTGAATATTTATTTTTATAACTAGTTACAGAAATAAAGAGACAAATATTATGATTTTAAGGTGAATAATTTATATTTCTGACCTTTTGTTATCTTATATTTCAACTTATATACATTAAAATTAAAATCTACAGTTATCACAAAAATTATAATTGTATTAATTTAACGTCAAACGATTACAAAAATATTTCTGTTGGACACGTTATTTATTATAATATTGACTCGGTGTAATTTTTTTCTATATGTAATATTAAAAAAGATATACGTAAAAATCTAAATTTCTAAATATATTCGTCAATTTTCAACTCTTTTGTCCCATTAACAGCCCTAGGTGGGGGGGGGATTCAAAGTAACAAGTTTGGCACAAAAATTTCAACTTAAATAATATACGGATATAAAACTTAAGAATCATTGGGATAATACTGGTATAAAATTACAATAAAAAATTGATGAAAAATTGAAAATGTTTTATAAATAAGAAAATATAATAATTTAATAATAGTTATTATCACTTACTTTTTTAAAAGATCACTATAGTAGAGTTTAAATTTTATTGTAACTTCCAAATATGAAACACTTATCAAACATTATTTATACTTAGAATTATTATTGTGTTTACCTAATCTGCTTGTTCAATAAATTTACGCGTTTCCAATTAATAAGATTTATAGTTAACAAACATCGAGTTATAAATAGACAATTTTTAAATTTTGAATCATTTAACATTAAAATTATTTATACTCTACAAATTTTCTATAAAATATATTATATATAATCAAAAAAATTTAACAATAAAAAAGTTCAAAAACTATGTTAACTACACGCTAATGATCAGATCTATGAAAATTAATGAAGAGTCTCGTAAAATTAGACAACTATCGAACATAAACAGTTGACATCGTAACAAAATCATAATGGTTTTGAAATATTTTTAACGCCAATGTACAAAAATGTTTTGATTTAAAAATTGTTATTGAATAGTTATTTTCTATTTTATAAGCTAGAAAACTAGCTTATAAACTTCTTAACATAACAATTATTTTAAGAAAAATTTAGTGGCGGCTTATATCAATAAACTCACTTTGTATAGGAAAATAAAATAATCCTAAAATCAAATTTTTGGAGTTCGGACAATTGCTGAATTACCTTATTAAACTTTTATTAAATTTTTTCATTAAAAAGATAATCTGTGATAATATTTAATTATTTGCAAGTTTAATAATAAACCATTCTGATTATTGGATTTGAATATAAATGTTTATAATATTGGTGTAAATATCGGATTTCAAAAAATCCCGATGTCGTATATGTCGACCGAATTTAATATCAGATTTCATATCGACCCAGCCCTAATTTTGACGTATCATTCAAGTCCATTAGGAGCTATAAAAATTTAGCAACAAAAGAGAAAAATAACACATAGCAAAATTAATATCTTGACAGCTTGGAAGAGATTTATCTGAATCTAACCTCATAAAAGTTGGACATTCCAAAAGGCCCTTCATTATTTTACCTATACTACCATGACATACCAATGCCAACAAATTCGCAACCAAAGTCGAATCTCTCAATTCTGTTATTAACCTACTCCAAATCTCACTAAACGAAATCACTACACGGTTCAAGAAGTGAAGCTAAACCTAAATCCCAGCAAAACCAGTTCCCAATTAAAAAGATTTATAGTTAACATACATGGAGTTTTAAATCTTTAATTTTTAAATTATGAATCATTTAACACTGACATTCATTATACTCTAAAAGTTTTCTGTAAAATATAAAAATATATTGTATATAAAGCAAAAAATTTAACAAAAAAAAGTTGTTAGTTGCAGAGGTGTGATAGTTCACTTTTAAAAATTTCGATATTAGTCAATGAGTAAACAGTTGTCAGACATTACGGAACATGTTCAAAAATCGAGTTCTAAAAAATGTTTTACAATTACATACATTGTCTTTCATTGTCTCTACCTAACACCTCCTGAATTTAGATTTGGTTGGGCTGATTAAACTATATTAAAACTGTGTTCTTTTAACGCAAAGAGAATGAAATCAGTACAGTGATAGATGAGCATTTTCATGGACAGTCAAAAAAAGGTACACCATTATAAAACTAAAATTTTTTTTGCTTCGCTTCTAAGCAAAAATTTATATTTTAGACTAAGTACGCGCTAATGCTCAGATATTTAGAAATATGCATGTCGTATCTCGTAAAATTAGAATACTCTAGTACGTAAACAGTTGACATCATGACAAAATTCATAATGGTTTTGAACGATTTTTATCACATAAAAAATGATTTACGATATCTAAATCTTGTATTTATAAAAATGACTTGTCGATAACGACTATTGAGCCAATAATTTGTAAGTCATTAGAATTTTAATTTATAAAATAGAGTTAAAGCGCGAATAAAACTATTTTTATCATTAGTTATTTCTCTACCACAATACTCCTAACGACTATGTACAAAAATGTAAAAATCTTCTCTTATATAATCTTTATATATATATATATATATGTATTTATATTATATAGCTCTGGTTCAAAAATCGTTATTAAATAGACATTTTATTAAGTAGTCCATTTTCTATTTTATAAGCCAGTTTTCTAGCTTATAAAATTTTCTTAACATAACAGTTAATTGAGGATAAATCGAATGGCGGCTATATTAATAATGCACAGTAAAATAGAGGTATCGTGTCTATAATTTAAATTAATACCTTCTCGTCAAAGTTAAATATATTAATTGTATTTTTGAAATTTATCGTTATAAAAAAAAAACACAATAATTAATTTTATTTATTTATGTTAAAACTATAATTCATATTTTTTCAGAACCATCTTAAACTATTTTTTGTATCTCTTTTTCAAATATCGTCCAAGCGCTTCTTTCGCTACACGCATTGTGTTTTTACAACGAGGGCACAAGCTGTCAGTAAGTGGATAATCTGTAGTAAACGGAGTTATACACTGTACGCAGAAAACTAAAAAAAAAATGTTAAAAAATATTACAATAATTTGATTAGTAATATAGTTAAATTATTTTTATAATAACTATATTTTACATCTATATCTTTTTTTACTTTGACAAGAGTTAGTGTACCATAATACAGAAAATGTGAACCACGCTAGTTCTTTCCGCCTTAGGGTTTATTTGTGCAACAATCGGTGGCTTTGAACGCGTATTATATCTGCGATTCATATATATACATATTGCAGATCATAGAAGATCTTACGAGGGGAGATAAAACCCACCAACACGGACATTTCTTTTTATCAATTTTTAGTGTTTTATTAAAAGAAATCGACACATAGGCAGAAAATTAAATAACACATTGACTTTTTTTCCTATCCAGAAGTATGAATTTAAACTGCTTTTAAATCTTAAAAAAAAATAATGAAAACATTTTTTAAACTGCCTGACATTGATTAAATTATCGATTTATGAAAAATCGTACGATTCGCTTTTTTTGGTCTTTTTCATATCTTATTTTGTTTAACTTTTATGAGTCAATTATACAAGTAAAATAGGAAAAAAATTGAACGAGTTTTTGGCTTCTATGTTAACTTCTTGATTAAACGTTCAACAATAATCAGCTAAAATTTTTGTTGAATGTCTACCTTGATATAATTTTTTTGATTCGAAATTTATCTTCTATGATAATTATGATCTATTATTAGTATTATTATCTACTATTTATGTATTATTAATTTACATTTTCATGAGTGTAGTTAATTTTTTTCTAGATAATTTTTCATTTATCTAATTTTAATTGTGATTAAGTTTCGAATTATGACAATAGAGTTGTATGAATTCTCTAAAACTGTATTACATTGCTAAATACGTTTACCAGCTTTCTCCAAATTGTGGTGATTATGACGAAATGAGTGAACATTATTATCGAGATATTTAACGATCTGAAAACGATCTTTATTCAATAAAAATTTAAGCTGATTATTGTGAGATAGTTAAATAAGAAACTTAAATAACACATTGACTCTTTTTCCTATCCAGAAGTATGAATTTAAACTGCTTTTAATCCTTAAAAAAATAATGAAAATTTTTTGAAATTTTCGATTTATGAAAAATTGTATGATTAGATTTTTATATGTTTATGTCACATCATAAATAAAATCTTTCGAACTACAATCTAAATATGTTGTATATATATCAAAATATTCATTTGCCTTTAGCACTTACTTGATGCCATACTACTCATTATAAAATTGAATATTCCAAATGGAAAATTAAAAAAATATATTTATTTTAGTTACAAAGAGGAAATTATATAATTTTTAATTTTTGATTAACAACAGCAAAGTCAATTATTCAAGTGAGATGGAAAACATTTTTATGATTTTACCGAGATATCTAACGATCTGAAAAACTATATTCAACAAATATTTAGCTGATTATTGTTAAACACTTATGGAAGAAACTAAATTGGAAGCCAAGAGATAGTCTAAAATATGTTTTTTTACATCTTACTTAAATAATTGATTTTGCTGTAGTTAATTAAAAATTAATTCGTTAATTTTAATTATAAAACTAAATTCAGATTTAACATATTATCATATAATTTTTGAATATCAAAATTCTAGGTATTTGCACTCAGGCCCGGATTAAGAGAGAAAGGCAAGGAAGCTATTTCACACAGACCCAAAACATATCGGGACCAAGATATTATATCTTTATCTTATTTATACATATAGTCAAACATATATGATTCCGTTTAAATAATAAATGGTCACGAAATTTTATGAAAGGAGTAGAGGACATTGACCAATTTGTTTTTGTTTTTTTAATTATAGAACGTAGAATACTAATTTTTGATATGAAAATATTATTAGATATTTTTACTTTTCAGATAATGCGTGTCAATTCATAGTTAACCAATCGCTCTATATAATATACAAAGTGATTATGCATGCCAATATACATAAGTATTTAATCAAATCATATACATGGTATATGACAAAATAATAATTATCTGTATATATCAAAGGTGTACATTAACAAACTCAAATGCAGAGCATACAGTGCGTCATTAAAATACAATTTTTGTTAATCACAATTAGTTTAAGTTCAACTGTATGTAATTATTTTAAATTTTTATAACAATAATTACAACTTTTTTTAAACGTTCTTATCATTATTAAACAGAACAATCATCTCATGTCGTAATTATATACTCTTTCTCTCATTGTATCAATAAATTCATTAAATACTATTAGTTTTCTTACTAATGCTAAANCTCTCATTGTATCAATAAATTCATTAAATATTATTAGTTTTCTTACTAATGCTAAACGTCCTAGGTGTTGAAAATATATCCACTGTAAAATAAATAAATTATTTATAAATAATTTATAATTTGTTAATAAGAAAATAAAATTTCTGTTAATTACAAATAGTTTAACCTCATCTGTATGTCTAATCATTATGATACTAAAGATACAATTTGTAATAAAAAATAGCCTTAAACTATTTATTATCTTATATATTTACCGGAACTTGGATGTTCAGTAGCATTACGTTCGTTCATTAGAAAATTAAAACACATATTTTCTGAATATATATTGTCAGTATTACAATTCATACACATATCTAAATTAATTTAATTATATCAAACTCAATACAATATTATTTATGTAATATGCATTCAATACTATAAGTTCTCTCACTAGTATTAGACGTCCCAGCTGCTGCAGATATATCCACTATAAAATGTATAGATTTTAATATTTAAAAATATTATCAGGAATTAAAATTTCTGTTAATCACAATTAGTTTAAGCTCAACTGTATGTAATTATTTAAAATTTTTATAACAATTATTACAACAACTTTTTTTAACGTTCTTATCATTATTAAACAAAACAATCATCTCATATCGTTAGTTTAAGCACAACTGTATATAAGTTCAGAAAATTTTAGAGCAAAAATCACAAAGACCTTTTTTTTTGATGTTTTTCACATTATTAACTAAAAAAAATTATTTTTTAATATTTATAACAATTAGCTTAAGCTCATCTGTAGGTGATTTTAGGTAACTTTATAATATTAATCTTTTAATATTATAAGCTATTTTTATATTTTTCTCTTTATTAACCACAAAAATTATTTTAGATCGTGGGTAAAACTCGAAGAAAAAAGAGATAAATCGTAAAAAAAAGTTTACTTATAAATCAATGATTATATCAATTATGACATTTTAATAGTTATGACATAATTACAGATGCATTCTGTAATAAAGAAAAAGCCTTAAACTATTTATCTTTTATATTTACTTTTCGAATGTGTAGCAGATGGATATTGATTTATGTCATGATTTACATCCTGATAAAGGCAATTAAAACACATAGGGTAATTGTCCCAAGTTACTGCTAGATTACATTTTGAACACATATCTAAATTAATTAAATAATATCAATCTTTCATAATTTAAACGTTAGTTTATGTTCTATATCTTTAACTAGGCTAAAGTCTTTGCATACAATATTATTTATTGTAATAATTAATGCAATAGATGTCTTACTATGGTTAGAAGTACCAGCTGCTGCAGGTATGTCCACTGTAAAATAAATATGATTTTTCAGTAAAATTTTTATCACTAATAATATTTGAGAAAAAATTAAATAAAAATAAATTTTAAAAATAACATAAAATTATATATAAGAAATTGAATGTTGTCGGCTAATGTTATTTATTATTAAAACTATATTACATTTATATATTTAATATATATTAATCTTAAATAAATTAATAATTAGTACAATTGTGAAAAAAGATAATTCTACTAAATAAATAGCCTTATACTATTTATTATCTTATATATTTACCGGAACTTGGACGTTCAGAAGGATTACATTCTTTCATTATACATTTAAAACACATATTTTCTGAATATATTACGTCTTCATTACAATATATACACATATCTAAATTAATTTAATTATATCAATCTCTGATATACAATATTATTTATTGTAATATGCATTCAATTTTTTTTTTAATATCCATAATTATTCTTATTCTAAGAGAAATTGAATATATTATTATGAACAAATCATTCAGTTTATACAGTAAAGTTATTAGATACTATAAGTTCTCTCACTACTTTTAGACGTCCCAGCTGCTGCAGATATTTCCACTGAAAATATATAGATTTTAATATTTATAAAATATCATCAGGAATTAAAATTTCTGTTAAACACAGTTAGTTTAAGCGCAACTGTATATAAGTTCAGAAAATTTTAGAATAAAAATCACAAAGACGTTTTTTCGATGTTCTTCCCATTATAAAACAAAAATAATATTTTAGATCATAAAATAATCGTACCATATGCTACAAGTAATATCAAACAGAAAACCTTCATTTCTATACTCCTAAAACAAAATGAATAATAATTAAGGGTACATTTTTGTGATGTAACCTATAAACATGAATTTTCTCATTTATTTAAGCATATAAAAATATAAGATAGGGAAAGGGAGTGAATTAAATTTTATATTTTTAATTTTATCAATAAAAAAACTCAACTTTTTAATTGAATTTTTTTTTTATTTGTGTTTATATACATTTTAAAATATTTTAAATATTAAAATTTCTTTTTAATTAATTAAAAATTCAATCTTTTAATACAACAAAAATTTTATAATGATTTTTGCTGATAATACATGGCTGCAGTTAATGGTTTTTTTTTTCAGATTTGTTAACTGATAACCATGTTGTTATCATATAATATTAATTAATTACGTAATTCCTGTTTGAGTAATATTTTATTTTATCGTTACTAATTGTTATCTATTGATTATCCCATTCAAATTTTATTCTGTACAAAAAAATTACTAGAAGAAGGCTTGATAACATTTGGAATAATTTTTCTGAAGAAAATAAAAATATAAAATTTAAGAAAACCATCTAAAAGAGCTAAAAAGAAGGCATTTTAGCTTTAGTTAGCATAATAAATGATTATAGTATCCATAATTGTGCTGGAAGGACTAAAAATTCTAAAGTAGTTGTCGATGATTCAATGTCTGACAATGACGATATTATTATGAAGAACAAAGCTCATGAATACTTAGAAAAACTAAAAAAATATACATTGCCCTAGATAGACTTACTNACGTCACAACTGTGCCGCGACCCCCCTGTGCTGGGTTTTTAGATTATCACTACAGTAAATTATAAATTTTATTGTAACTTCCAAATATGAAAGACTTATCAAACATTATTTATACTTCTTAGAAATATTATTGTATTTACCTAATCTGATTTTTCAATAAACGTTTCCAATTAAAAAGATTTACAGTTAACAAACATGCAGCTATAAAACAGTCAATTTTTTATTTTTTATTTATTTAACACTGAAACCAGTGGTTTGTGAGTGCTGGTGAAGGGGGTGTGACTTTACATATAATACCGCAAGTTATAGGTATAAAAAATTGTCAAATTAAATATAATAAAATAAAAGACAATACACATAGTATTACTTTAAAGGTCGCAGTAGAAAATAGAAATGAAAATAAAAATAACAGCGATTATACTATTAATAGAACCGATAATGTCGAGCTTACACGTTGTTAATTCTAAAAATAAATTACCCAATTTAGTAATACACTAATATTTTACTGTTTGAACGACGCTGCCGGTCGTCAAAACCCGTACATAAGATCGTAACTGAACCGTACCCTCATAAAATGAGGGAAACAACTTTAATGTTCGCACACGACAAATGTATTTTAACTATTTTACCATTTAAATATTTGCATTTTTAATAAAAATGTAGATTTAAGAATATACAATTAATTTTCTTCTTTTAATTAATTTTAATAGAGAGTGTGATCGTCCCGTCGTCCAAGCCACGAGCAGCCACTGACAAAAACATTATACTATAAAATTTTTTTGTAAAATATATAATATAAATTTTATGTTTAATATATATTATATTTATATTATACCAAAAAATCTATCAAAAAAAGTTGTTAGTTACAGATTATATTATCCATAACTGTGCTGAAATGACTAAAATTTCTGAAGTAGTTGTCGGTGATTATTCAATCAACGGCGTCATTTCAGTTTTTTTTTTCTTTGGGCGTGCGAAATATCAAGTAGGCCATTTTGAAATTTCATCAGGTCATATAATATATCTACTTAAGTAAATTACTCTTCTTTTAATTTTTCTATAGATTATGAATCACAATTAACATAATCAGTAAATATAAATTATAATAAAACTTACTATTATATAATATTACGTGGCGTCGTGGTCTTAGCAATCGTTGAATTTTATATGAATTAGTTCATATTAGTACAGTATGGACGTAGCATAGTTAGGACAAGTAGAGATGATATCTGACAGTGATTGAAATCAGTATCGTAAGAAACGCATCCATGCAAATCTGTATTGAATTCTAAAAAGTTGGTGGATTATTCCAAAAGCAAAATTAAATAATTTTTTGTTGTACTTCGACTGCCATTTGTACATAGAAAATAAATCGTTGGCACAAACTTTTTTTTTTTTTGAACTCTAGTACATAAAATAAGCTTTATTTTAATATATATTTAAAAGATGCAGTATTCCCGGAACATTTTCTAAATATAAGTTGAAAAAGTTCAACTTTTTATACAAATTTTCAAGTTTTCAAAAATTCAAAAATGCTTTACTTAACTTTGAAGAGGCAATGTAAGTATACATTTATATTTAATGTAAGTTTGATTCATATAAATTTTATATTTATTGGCTGTCTCATTATTATGGCAAACCCTTATAAGGTATTTTAAAATAAATAAAAAATAATAAAATTTGATCACAAAAATAACATGTTTTTTAACTACTGCAGTTATTTGCATAAAGAAGGTAGGTCGTCGGGACAATTTTTTTTTTAAATTTTAGTACGTAACATAAACTTTAATTTGACATATGCTTTAAGGACGCAATATTTCCGGAACACTTTTAAAACTTAATTTGAAAAGTTGAGTTTTGTAAAAAAAGTTGTTATTTTGAATCCCTTATTGTGTACAGGTAATGATGACTTTTTTTGAACTTTTAAAAATAATTAAAAACTCGTTTGAGTTTTAACTCAATTTAGAATCATTAACTACAATGAATATCAAGGACCTCATCGCTGTAGTTTCCCCTTTTCAAAATACATTTTTTATTCATATTAAAATCAGTTCATGGTTTATTTTTTGTGTATTACATTCATTATTCTCAGCACTCACTAGACAAATTTATTTTAACAATACGTTAAATGATCAAAACTAGTGTCTAGTTGAAGATAATATCCTCTAAAATTGAAAAAAAATTACATTTTATTATTTAAAAAGTTACTTAAATCAATTTCTCTATATAAACAAAATTCAAATCGTTTATTTCTAATGTTTCTGTTTAATATGATTTGATGTGAATTATTACCATAAAAATGCAAAAAGTGATTTTAACGAAATGTTGAGTTTTTCTCATAAATTAACTATAAATTAAAATATTTTCTAACTGCATATTGATCTTAATAGTACTATTTATTTAATTCTCATAAAATCTTCTATTGATGATGTCAATTATAAACTTGCAAATGAGCTAAAAAAAATTATGGTAAAAAGTTCAATCCTATAAAATTATAATTTTTCATAAAAAACAACTTTAAAGGACCAAAAAATTAAATGTGACATTTTGAATCGAAATTTCTTACCAATTTTTTTAACATATTAAAATCGAAATCTATTATATTAAAAAAAAAATTACAGTATACTTTTTACTATCAATCTATGTAAAAACAAAAAAATCATTTTTATTTTAAAACAGCTATTTATCAGTTTTTCCTTATAAAAAATTTTGATAAGTCGATAACAACTTTAAGATAAGCACTTATTGAGTTACAACACATTTTAATACACAGTGTGGGTATGTTTGGCGGGGGGAACGGTTTGTATATTATGCAGCTGGAGTATATTCATAGTGCATATAGTGCGTTACACAGTGAATCTATGTATTAAAATACTTATTTTCCAATAAGTACTTACCCCAAAGTTATTATAAACCCATAAAAATTATTTTTATGAAAAGAATCCAGAGAAATGGATATTTTGAATTAAAAAAAAAATGTTTTTATTTTTAGAGACAAATAATAAAAAATATGTACGTAATTTTAACGTAGTCCAAAAGATATTATAATATCTGACGGTATAGTCCGTGATGATGATCCATCGTTATTATGAAACGCTCGTTGGAATGTCTAACTAGCAATTGCTTGTCTAGAAATAAATGACACAAGTGTTAGTCGTATATGCCCAATTGCTTGGCATACACGTATATCGCATTATAATGTAATTGATAATTATCAATAAAAATACTACAATCTGTATTTTATATTAATACTAATTAAATAAAATTAATTGTCATAATGATCACACTGTTTAATACTATAATTTAACCATTGTTAACAATACTATCATATTGTATTAATCATGTAACATTTAATCTGTAAAATAAATTGACACTCACTAAAAGAGCTGACAACAATATCCCTGGAATGGGGGTACCATATTACACTATATAAAGCACAAAAATCCTTTCAGAGTTCACTTCGATTTTATCGAATATATAAAATGAACAATTGTCAAGCCTGTGTTGTTGTCAGCTAGCTTTTTTTTTACACGTCTTATTTATATACGAAAAGAATTTGTTTTAATTTTTTATCTCGTGACAAAGTACGAATCCAATACCTCTGAGTATATATACGTATAGAAATATTTATCGAATCATCTCATAGCAATTTGCAAAGAAAAGGAAGTAAGTAAATTTATGTTATCCCAATTATTTAGAGTTAATAAATCTGAGTACAGAACGACGAAGCAATAGATCATTCATTATATTAACATTACACAATATTATACTACGCTGGTTGGTTATAGTCTTGTACATAATCATATTACATGGTATCCGTGAACTGACTTGCCGTTCCGTTGCCATTGTGCATATTATTAAATACCAACCAGACTATACTTTATTACATCTCAGCAAAAAAATTATTACGTTTATTATTTTTATATCTACTCGTCTTCATTGATCTAATCCCTCGAACCATACGACCCCGATAGAACCACAACATCAGGTTCTCACCATGTATAGCCCAATCCAATATCCGCCA